CTTGTATTTCGCTTACACATAAAGAAACATGCCATCGAAGTACAGGGGGGGTACATTCCTGTCTCCTGAAGCACAGCAGAACCTCTACATAGGAGTTTAATTAGCTTCCAGGACCTACTTTGTATGTTAAACTATTCGTATGTTGGTTCAAATATTCCCATAAGAACACACTGTAATTCCTATCATTCGTTCCACAGCCCAAAAACCTTTGATGACTCTTTATTAAATACTGCAGATAATTACACATAGCAATAAAACAAATGCCTTAGAGAGATGTAAAAAGAACTACATTATAAAGAAATAATCATTGGCACTTATTGAGGTAGAGGTAGAGACTGAGAAACAGGACGAACCCTAACTTACTCTAACTTTCAATACCTGAACTTTAAACTCGCTTTGTTTATCTATTATTATTTAATTTCTATATTCCATCCATCAATCCATGACTTCAAGGTCATTAACTTCGGGTATCGAGTCAAATATTTGATCAAATTTACCTTTTGAAGTTTGAAAATTCTTATGTTTAGGCGATCTTAAGTAGAGGTTCTGCAGTATTTTCACAGATTACGTCTCCTAAATGGCCCAGATCTAAAATCCAGGACACGTATTTGTATTATCGGAGGCCCTGGAGGTTAAATTCATGCTCCCAGCAGGACGTTTTAGGATGGCTCCTCAGAGAGTAGTCCTGGACACCTGAATGTAAATGTAGGTGCTGAGAGTGTAAAGGACTGGCCCAAAGATATGCAAGCTGTAGAGCAAAAAGGGTTTGACAACAACCTGTGGGGGTGATGACAAAGACCCACTGGGTGAGTGAGAAAACTAAGCAGACTGGGATCCAGGACTCCATCTGAGACCGAATGTATCCGAAATACAAAGTTAAACCACACAGCAGGAATTAGCTAACGTTCATCCAAGAACCGAAAAGCACCACACCTTCGTCCAAATGCCTGTAAGCGATGGTTTTTACCATCCAGGTGGGAAACGGACATCTCCAGCATCAAGTCCAAGTCCAAATTCCTCTTCCTCAGAGTATTTTTATGAGAAATATACCTTTGAGAATGAATAATGAAACCCTTAATTTCTGTGTACATGGTTCACATCACTTCCAGTCATTTCCATTGAATACAAGTAGCTGATTTGACTCAATTTTAAAAAGCATTCAACTTTGTACTAATTTTCTTTCATTGATAACACCAGTAAATATCTGTAATGTACATGGATGCGTCGTGTAACTGCAAAGCCACGTCCCAAAGGGCTCAAAGTGAATGAAAACACACAATAGACATCCTAAAAGCACCAAATCCGACTTTACTTTGGCCTTAAAGTGACACACCAGCATTCGGTGTGAAAACAAAAAGGGCTGAGCCGATTCCCCGGAGCTGGACTGAGCTGGACTGGGGGTTTGGGACTCAGATGAAGACCCGTTCGGGAGTCATTTCCACGCAAACGTGTGTGAGATTCCCCACAATCATCCACTCATCCAGGGGATTAAAGAAGTGAGTCAGTGGCCCATCTGGAACCGGGGCAGTCAGTTAGTCCGCCGGTCGGCCTGTAGGTGGCACATTAACCCACTTAATCACTCCGGGAGTGTCCTCTGCAGATCAGCTGCTGCTGACAGAAAAGAAACACCCAGTCCTCCAAAAGAGCCTCCATCTCTCATGCATGATAATAAAAAAAAAGAAGCCCAAAGTGCCTTTTCCATTTAACGGACCACCAACAGTGCTCGGGTTATTTCAAGGAGTGCAGAATGCATGTCAATTAAACCGTGCATGAATGACAAAAAACAAACAGAAAAGCAGTTTATTTACATGTTTATTTACATGTGTGAACGCCCCGCGGGGGGGTTGCGTGGACGCGCATAATCCTGCAGCCTTTTGTTGAGCAACTTGCTGCTTATCTTCAGTTGCAGCAACACAATGAAATAAAGGAAATTAAAATGGAAACAGCTCGGTGGAGCGTCTCCCGGTGCGTAAATAATTACGCACGGTTCCGTCTCAGGGGTTGGGTGCGTAAACCGGGGCCGATAAGAGGACGCAGACTCCCCGTTGCCCCATTTTTTTTTTTTTTTTTCTCGGAGCTTGCCGGGAAACCACGTGAGCCGGATCCGAGGATCGGACTCGGGCCGTGATTGGCCGGCCAACTTCGCACGTGTACCGGCGAATCCCCGTCCGTTATGTAACGTGAGGACCCGGAGGGAGGGATGTAGTAATGCGCATCGCAATGGCTTTTTTTTTGTTGTCCATTCATGCCTTTGTAGACCTTTTTTTTTTTTTTTAGCCCCCAAAACTGTTTTGTTTTTACGCACTCGCAGCGCGTTTTTTGAAAAAATGTTGATTTAGTTGGAAACACGTGCATTGGGAGCTTTTTTTCCCTTGGTCAGGGCCACCCAAACAGCCTGGGATGGCGTTTGTTTAAACATTTAGTGCCTTTAGAGCTGAAGACTGTTGTGACTATGAGGATGCTGCCTTTCAGGATAAGCCACATGCTTTTAATCTTAAAAGTTTAAGTGTAACAAGGGGGGGGAGGAGTGGGGTTGCAGGTGGGTTGCGAAACACCTTGCAAGATAATGTGACAGGAAATATGCAGATGCTCTTATCTGCAGACTCAAATCACCTTTAATTACGCACTCAAAAGAAGCACTTAAGAGACCTACAAGCAGAAAATAAACTATTTAGTTATTTAAATATGATATAACCTGGAAAATATGGCATGACAGAGTGTTTTGGGGGGTGAATATAGTTTAAGATTGCTTTAATATCAATGGACTGGTTTAACTGATTCATTCCATAATAAAGAGCCAACATGTTGTATTTTTTCCACAATAAATCACATGACAACGTAATCGCATAGCTGAGAGTGGTGTTGTTTGGTGAAACATTCTTGTATTGTCTTCTCCCACCGCCTCCCCGGGGCCCGGCTACCAGACTGTGGACACTCGGCGACTTCCCACAATCCACGTGTGTCTGTCTATCCTTACGTTTGCCCGCCACCATTTTCCTGGAATCCAGTCATGCGCGGATCCCTCCGCGCATATAGTCCCTCGCTCCGGATCGGTTTACCGCCCCAGATTCTGGTCAGAATCAGAAATAATTTAGCAATCCCAAAGGGAAATGATTTAAACTATTTTCTGTTTGTATCAACGGGGACCGGGACGCCACGGGGGCCGGGGCCGGTGGTAACGGGGGCCGGCCCGGACCTGCGGGAGATTTTGGCGCGAATCGGGTCGGCGGCGGAAGGGAGGCGGCGCGGCGGTACATAAGCCGGCGCCCCGCGGCCACACCCACTCTGCGTGACCGTAGCGGGGGAGGAGAGCCAGACCCGGAGCCCAGAGCACCAGAGACAGACCCGGAGTCAGAGCACCAGACCCGGAGGAGCCCGGAATGCCGCTTCGCTCCAGCTCCAGTTTTTCCACGCAGAAGAAAAAGTTTCCTTCCGGCTAACGCCGCCATTGGACGCTAATTGGACGCTAATTTGTCTTCCTTTTTGGCTTTTCTTCACACTGAATTTCGTTAACAGTTGAAGGTAAGACGGCTGAAATCGATTAAAATTAATTTTAACTGGTGTCAGCAGCTAACATGCTTCTTTGGACCCCTCCCTTCCCATTTTCCTATTAGCTGTCATTTAAAACTGCAGTCGTGCACGTTCCCCTGTTGCATGCACGTTTTTTCCTCTTTCTTCTCCTCCTTTTTTTCGCCGGTCGGTTTCACGTGGGGTTTACGAGGTCTGCAGACCCACGCGGCGTTTAAATGTCCCCGGACATGTCTGTATCGTAACGTCTCACCTAAAGAAAAAAACGTGCACGTTGCAGTTTGAATTAAAAAAAAAAAAAAAAAGTGAACCTATCTGTAGCTCTTTTTTTTCCCTGGGTGTGCGTGGTTTTGTGCAACTCAAAGGCGTGCATTCATGCTCAGATATCGCTGAGTGTCGGGTGGGGGCGATAGTGTGTGTGTGTGTGCGCGTGCGCGTGGGCGTGGGGGCTTTTTAAAAAGCAGACTTTATTCCTGCTCCGCTGTCATGGCGCAGAGACCGGTGTGTGTTTTTAAAAAAGTTTTGGGCTCACGTTTCTCCACAGACAGCCTTTAACTCCTTTAGCTCCCACACTGCCGCTTTGTCTGCCCCCCCCCCCCCCCCCCCCCCCCCCCC